GGTTTTATGTACCGAGGAGAGAGATGTTAGTCCTTGCGTTTGGACCACAAACAGAACTACCTTTCGTCCACTGACTCTTCCTTACATTTTTGTGCGTTCTTTGCCCATGTACTGTCTAACGTGAGCACATGTTGCGAGGTTTTCCTCCGACCTTCTCTCATTATCGTTCATCTCGCAAATTAATTAACCTTTTAAAATGAAATTCAGAATTACGGAGGGGTCCACAAAAATATCCATACATCGTTTCGTTGTAGGTCCAGGGGTTTGGCTGCAGGGGGCTCCGGTGGGCTCTCGAGATTTCTTTGTTAATTTTTGGCTATTATCGAGGTCTTTATTATCGGCACAGAAAATGTCGATGCGCACACATTCGTATATCGAAATGCAGGTGGCTGTTGGGATTTCCATGTTAACAGATTCGCAGCTCAGCCCTGTGGAGGCCGAATCTCTTGTCAATGTTAAACTGAGGCAAGATTGCCCGGAAACTATTACCCGTGCCCGGAGAGAACCCTGGATGACCTTGTATAGACGGCTAGGTAACTGTTCTGTCCATGATGCCGAATAAAAATACTCATTTCTCTGTCGGGAGTCAGACACCGGAAGTACGTCTCATCCGCTGAATTAACATGTCCCCCTACCCTCTTTGTCACTGGGCGTGTTTGTGTAGCTGTAACGATCTATACTTCGGATATATCCGGTTCGAATCTCGGTCGTGATACCGACTGTCCCGATTCAGGTCTTTAGTAAAGATGGCTGTCTTCTGGGACGTTGCCGCCTTTAGTTTGCAAGGACGATTGCCCTGATGATGGTAGCAGTGAACGTCCTTGAAGCGTCGGTCAGTATTTATGAGACTACACGGCGCAGCATCCCAGAAGAGAGTATTCTTCATGCTCGTCGTCGTGAGAACCTGAAATCTCGCCGGGTCTTTGGTAATTGTCCAGTAGACCTAACCCAAGGCGAATTGCAGAGCAAAGGCCATTACGCACCGCTCGTTCCATCTCGTGTCGTTCAATTCGACTTGATATGACTGAGACGAATGGCACAGGACTCAAAAAGCACGAATCCTTTGGCCGGTAACATGCTGGTTTGCACGTAGTGTGTGACGCGTGGTATGTTTGCTAAGGAAGAGCTGGTGTGGATTGGTTTTCGCAACCTCATTCTGTTCTGTGTCGTTTATCTTGCAGCGAGTGGTTGACCTCGTTTGGTTGTTCATTTCCTACGCTTTGGTCTTGGCTACCTGTAATTTCCGTCATTACGTGCTATTGCCACTGGTCCCATTGTTTTTCTCTCAAACCCTGATAAGATGGGTGTAAAGAAATTGTCCAAGGATAGTCTAGTTGAGTAGTTTTAGATTCAGAGGGACGTAGCGTCCACGTCAACGGCCAGTTTTATGCACTTCGTGCACAGAACGCAAAAACAGTGACTGGTTCGTACTTTCTTTTGAGGGGGCGAGCCTCAGGCCGATTTTCATGCCCGGAATCTTGGAAGTCTTTTAGTTCTCCTTTGTGACTATTCACCTCTTATATGGCATAAGATTCCAAATTAGCTGTACTGAATGAGGGATGTGGTACAGTGGGCACGTTCCTCGTGGGTAAGCGTCTGGGGCTTAAAGCTAAAACTGTCCACTCCCGTCCATCTGGTGCCAAGGTTAGTAATTTGTGGAGATATCCTTCCACTCCCCACCATACCTTCACAGCGTGGTGCTCAGTTAAACACAGGGATGACTTCCCAGCCTTATTTTGCAGTTTCCTTCTCGATAAACTGGTTGAGAAACATTGCTTCAGGCAATTAAGGTAGATGAAACTTACTCAGAAATCAGGGGGCTGCTGTGTCACGTACTAAAATATGCAGAACTTTAATTAGATTACAATTCGTCCCATGAATCAGTATTAGGCCAATGAAACTTGCTCGTTCATTTGCGTCGAGATGTGGTTTGACATTCAGCAGAGTCTGATTGCCCGTTTGTATCCGGTACATGAATTTCTAGATCTGCTGTTTCTCAGTTTTCTTTCTTCCTTAAAACTCCGCTTGCATCTGTGACCTCGTTTCAGAAATACGCCGACGATTATCAAAACATGTAAACTAATATTCTGTGTAGGTCATGTGTACCAAATAGTAGGAGTTATCAGAACTGAGAATAACATAATTTACCCATACTTTCTGTAAATTATGTAGGATTTGAGGTTTTTACGTCCGTGAGTCTGAAGATAGCTGTCTTCTTTCTGTACATTATTTTACTGGTAAGATGCATTTACGTCTTTAAGTAGTTACCTAACCTTTTAAAGATATTTTAACTTTAAGACTATTAGGTATGTAGTAAGTAGAGTGAATATGTGCACGTTTATATCCTCTAGGGCTTGTTTCTTCCGGTATAGGCAACCGCAAGGCATGCGTTCGCTTATCGACTTATCAAAAGTCTAGGGCATCAAGGTCTTTTCCGAGGTTATGATAACATTGAGCTTTATTATTTGGGAAGGGCGAGTCCTATCTGACCAAGTTCGGGGCGGTTTTGCGTGTGACGTCATATTTGTGTCTAGTCATATAATGTATCTGATTGCTATCTGGTCTTGTAAGTAGTGAAGTTTAGGTCTTTTCAGAAACAGGGAACCAAATGTTTGACGTAAATTACATCTTCATTGTTCATTCACTTTTGCATATATCGATTATGATGTGAATAATGATGAACTAAATATAATTTTGTGTGGGAGAGAGCGTTTTAGGCCTTCGCTTATTCGTGTTCAAGTGCCGTTGGAAATTTTACGTGAATGCGTGGTAGACCACATTGCTTTTCTGCCAGCCCGTGTTCATTAAACTCGTCATTGCAAGTCAGTCGAATGCAACTCCTACAATGTAGAGTGTACAGCAGGAGTTTTCAATCCGCGGCCCGGCTATGTAGGTTGTTCGACCCGCGTATGTTTTTATATTTTATCATCCTGCTTGATGAAGAAATAGTTACGGTCTAATCAAACATATCATTTTTAGTGCTTAAGTAATAAAAGTAACAATTGAAAACATCGTTCGCGATTGACTTGCTATCTGCAAGGAAGGTTTAGTTGTAGTAGGAAAATGTAACCTGATATCGAAAGATGTCATTTGTCTCAGTAATTCCTGATTTTGTTAAAATAATTTTAATTTAATATATATTTTTAAATTTTTTGTGAAGTACAACTTTTATTAATTGCCACGAATATTGAGTAGCTGTCACAACCAGGATGCACGCTGAATGAGGATGAATGTGCCCTCCCCCTTCCCGGTTTTTAAAAAGTCTGATAACCGCTGGTCTGCATTCTTACTAGATTTTCCTCCAAAATCCATTTTGATCTAAGTCTCTCCATGTTCACTTCAGCCCTGAAGATGGAGACAATTTTGTTGTTTCTAAAATGTCGATTTCGACCTACGAATCAACACATCGTCACACCCCAGAACATCTTCAGTGCGCAGTGCTTGTCTGCATTCCTATGCCAGTTACGAAACTTGCTTTGATCCATAAAATAACGAGCAGCTTGATGTACAGCCGAAGACTGGTTAATACTGGACTTGCGGGTTAAGCAAGGGTTACGTACGTCTCAGATACAAATAAGAGAAGTTTGAAAGATTTGACTTGCGTCATTGCACTGTTCATAACATCGGCCCATGACTGCATGCCCTTTAAATGTGTTCGGTAATACGATATGACAGGTCGTGAAGTGGGCAATGAGGAAAATGCTGCATGATTTAATTGCTATATTTGCTTAACTGCCAGATTAACGTGTATGTCGGGCAAGCTGGCACGCAGACGTCCCTTCCACAGATATCCATCCAGTGGTGAAGCAAGTGGCCTTGCCTCGTATTCTGTAAGTTTGGAATGATTGCCATGTAACTTCCTCCGGGCCGATATTGCGACCGTCAGGCCTACATGAAAATATGCCAAGACAGTTTCCTGCCAGTTTTTACCGACTGCCACGTAGGGCTAGTGTTACACCCCTTCCTACCTTACACAACCTCTGACATGTAAATAATCTTTTTCTTCCAGCGTCTGTGTCCGTCGCCTTCGATCTCGGCCGTGTGCGAACAGTCGTAACAAGGGCTTTCGGCGTCCCAACCCAAAAGACCACGATTGCCATATTCACTGCCTCTCGTGTAGGCTGTCTGTCGTTCCGAATATGACTTCCTCTCCTGTTCTTCTTTTATGTTTTCTTTCGTCCTTCTTCCACATACAAAAGTGCATTTGCCAAGAACTGGTTTTGATTTTGTTCAAGGTTCCGTCGTTTAGATGATGGGGGATTTGCGATTCCTTTATTTCAGAACTTTAAATGTAATGCCATTATATTACTCGTCAATGTTTGGGTGCTGGGAACGCATGCCATTGACTTCCCATTGATTTACATTATAAAAAGAGTTTCAATTTACGCCGATTCGTCCAGGAACGCATCCCCGGCGTAAATCGAGGGCTACCTGTATTTGCCCGCGTCAGTCCTTACCTGCAGCCACGTTACGAAGGCTTCTTTTTTATGTTATTCTGTTATCGAGGTTTTTACTGATAGTTTCCACCTTGAACGTTATTGACTTGACTCATGTTGAATAACAAAAGTGTTCTTGTGGGATTGAAGTGCTGGTTCCTGAATCAGCACTTTCATCGTGGTTACTGAAACCATGGCAATGAATTTGTGTAGTAGCCTAAACCTAACGACGAATTAAGTAAGAATGTGTGTTATGCCATAATTATTATGCACGATTTGAATATGCAAACCAGCACTTTATTCCGTGACTGTGATTGCATTCTTTGGTGCAGCGTTAGGATACTGCAGCTGATTCGCGAAGCATTAATGAGATTTGTACCTGGTAATAGAGTTTCTAGTAGCAATTGGTTCTTCGAGAGGTTTAATACAAAGTAATTAAATGTATAGTCCACTCTGCTCCTTGCAATTTTACAAAAAAAAAAGTTTAATATGCAAAGCATCTGTGACATGTGTGTAAATCTTAAGTTACAAATTCTGCCGCTCTCATAATCCTTTGTGCTGCAGGGTTTGTGGCGTGCACAGCGACTAACCCAATCTGGTTCGTGAAGACGAGACTTCAGTTGGACTACGCCAGAAACGGCAATCGAATGACAGCAGCCCAGTGCATCAAAAATATTTACAGAACTCATGTAAGTGATAGGTATCCTTGCCCTGGTTTATGGTAAAAATAGTGTGTGGATTCTCAGTGCAGGCGAGGCCGAAGAGACCTGGAGAGCTGATGACCTGTGAGGTATTTCTGTTCGCCGTCTCGGTGTTGAACCCGACCTCGTCGTATCCAATGTAATGAGCCCGCTATTACGTCTTGAAGTAACCACTGGCCAGGACCGAATTTAGAATGAGTGGAGCTTACCTCCATGCTTCCTGTACGTACTGGTGACCTTTAGAGCATATTTGTGATCAGTGTTTTGAAAAGGTAGGTCGTACCTGAGAAAAGTGAAGCGACGTGGAAGGACCTTTATGGTTTGTACTCTTGACGTAGTAAATAATTAAATGCACCACGCATTGAAGAAACAAGTGACCAACTCCACGAGTCCTTCAGAAACTAGGAGTCAAATTCCTTGCTTTTTCTGCAACTCGAGGGTTTATTATCTTGTTCACAAGAGCCCACCCCGGATTCTTTATGTGTCCTTTGCACGAAGTGCTTAGTAAGAACGCGTTATGATCCTCGTCCACGTGTCCAGTCGATTCAACATGAGAACCATTGGATTTTTACCAGACTACACGGCGCTACTGCCCAGAAGACAGCCATCTTTGGACAGCCATGATTTGGGGGGGGGGGGGTGCTGTATTTATCGGGCTCTGTCTAAAGAGCATTGATAATGAATTGCTCATAACTTCCACGTGGAATGAAGTGTTAACGTGATGTTTCGTAGGCTCTCCACTACGAGTTGCCGTTGTTATCTAATCGTCTTGGTTGTTGACGTCCTTGGTTAGGCTATTTAAGCCTGTAAGTACTGTTTACGGCGAAAATTATCTTGTTTGTTTACAATTTGAGGTATAAATTCGCGTTCGTTTCGAATTAACATGATTTCATGAAGTGCTTGTTGAATGGACAGTGGGAAAACTACCGCCTCCACACGTTCCCGCCATATGTAGCGGCGCTTTATGAGTGGAAAGACTGATAATATTTGATTAAACTGGTGTAATAAGACCTTGTATATATATATATATATAGCTCGGAACATCGGATAAATATTAATTGGGACGGTCACATATGTGACCTGTAACCTGTTTCAGACCTTTGCGACGCCTAATGTATCACATGGCAAAGTCACATTCTCGCTGCCACATTTAGCGCGCTCTGAAACATGGTGTATAAAGGACAGGGAAAACGTAGTTTCTTAGCTGCAGAATCCGGTAAGTTTAAATGGCGATGTTGAGGGTTAAGTTAATGTCTACAGGATTGCTTGGAAGGGCGGAGGGATTAGAAAACCTTAAGGATAATAAGTCTTTGGGGGCGGTATTGAACCAGGATCTCTCGAGTACGAACCGGAAGTACTAACCACTACACTACAGTGCACTGGCTTGCCTTTGTAACGCAAAAAGGGCATTGCTGCGTATGGATTATGCGCTTAAATTTTGCCGGGATTAGATCATGCCACGCTCTGGCAGTTCGACACCGGTTTCTTAACGCGGATGCTTGGGTTTGATCCTGTGGTACACGCGGAATTTGTGGAGGAAAACGTGAGGCTGAGGTATGCTTTCTACGAGTACTTCATTTACCCTCTGAAAACGGCGTACATCGTGAGAAGATGATGTTGGTAATGTGGCAGGAGTCCTCTACAAGGGTAGGAAGGCAGACAGGGTGGTGACCCGCGGAATATCGTAATATGTGGCAAGGCTTTTTTTCAATAATATTTTTAATTTCTCTACCCAATAAACGTGTCCGGATTGATGAGTGTTTTTTGATCCCCAGGGTTTGGCGGGCTTCTACAAAGGCATCACTGCCTCATACTTCGGAATTTCGGAGACCGTGGTTCATTTCGTTATCTACGAAGCCATCAAAGCGAAACTGGTGGCTTTTCGATCAGGTCAACCAACAGACTCCAAGTCCTCCAGAGATTTCCTCGAGTTCATGATGGCTGGAGCGGTGTCCAAGACCATAGCATCTTGTATCGCCTACCCTCATGGTAAGTGACATCTCAGAAGACAGCCATCTTCGGACTCATTGCCGTGAGAACCTCGAACCCTACAGTTAGGTTTTTTGCCCCGAGGGACATCGAACTTCTTTTCGAAATTGTAACCAGGTACCTCCTGAAGGCGACTCGGGGTATTCCAGTTGTGCTAACCCACTCAGTCATAACACTTTTGCTAGGAGGCTTATGGACATGACGAGGCTGAATAGAGAATGATTTTTCCCAATTTTAGATTTGTCTAGACGGACAAAAATGGACAAGGTTTCTTACTGATATAATTCCACAGGTGAAGGCGACTTTAATTCCGTAAATTATGTTGTGTCGATTGAGAGGACGAACGTGAATTTAAAAACTGCAAGGACGTCTCCATCCGTTTTACTGCAATATCTCAGCATTTCCCCAAGGCAGACAGATTCTCGAATCTGTATTACTTTCTTGTTTAAATACGCGATTCGGCTGTCGTGGTGCGTGCGTGCGTGTTGGAAGGAGCCGCTGGCCGCCTTGTGCCGTAATTGCGAAGACCCTGAACCGAATGAGACTTAAAAATAGCTTGGGAAGTTGCAACATTCATTATTATGTAATAACATCTTGTTCCGCGCTTCGTTCGTGCTTATCGTAGGAAATGAGAGAGCTAAAGCTCTGTTCCGGGGCATTTCCGGACATTCCGTATGTTAACCGACACGTCTCAGCCTGCCACTCATTAATTAGTATTTCCTCAAATATAAATTGTATTGAAATTTGCACAAATTACTGTGTCGTTACGTATTACTTCAAATTTGCTGTTACATCACTGTCTGATGACAGTTTTTCTTGGACAACTTATATATTTTAAGGTAGGGTGTTGCAGTCAGTGGCGTGTGTGATTCTAATCGTGTAGCAACAGACCTGATAAGAATGACGACTTTTTGTCTTTGCGGAATAAAGAAAATAAAAGAACTTGTAGAAACTGGTAAAATATTACTAAGTGATGGTCTGGAGGCAAGTGGTCTCGGGGCTTCTCAGATAAGAATATGTTTGTAAACAGAGTGCTCTGATTAGATTTTGAACTCTTTGTCGGTATAAGTGCAAGTGGTCTCGGGGCGAATGTGGCCCGCTGATGGGACACGTTCTGTTACATAATTTTTATCTCGGGACTAGCCACTCAACGTTGGCTCTCGTGCTTCTCAGATAAGAATATGTTTATAAACAGAGTGCTCTGATAGATTTTGAACTCTTTGTCGGTATAAGACTGTGGCTGTTAACCGAACATTACGTTTATGGTTAGAAGTTTAATGATGGTCGTATCACCAGTGTATTTTAATTCTACATCTTTTGTGTTAATACGACTGATTTTTATGTTCAGCCTACTTTTATATAAATCTGTCTGTCTTCTGCGTTGTTGCGACATGTAGTCCCGTAAACGTCGGTAAACATCTACAAGAATACACGAC